TCAATGCTAAACAAATTAAAATTTTAATTTAGCCTCGACCTAGACCAATTAACTCAGGGTGAATTGCTGGGCGCTCATAGCTCCACTGCAGCAGTTTTGTTTCCATTTTTTCGTTGGTTTTTAAGTTGAAATTAACCAAAAATACACACACAGATACAAAAATATATTTTTTTCAAAAACTGATAAAATTTCGTTGGAAAATGTTTAACCAATGCGTTCCATTATTTACTTTTTGATACTGCCAGCCAGCATTGACATGCGATACATTCCGAAAAAATGTATTTATTGTTGTTTGTTGTTTTCATTTGGTCGAACGAAACAACAAAAAAAACCTTAAAGGGCAAACAGTAGCGGTACAAGAGTTTTAGATTTAAAGAAAAAAAATTATCTCTAAATGACCTACAATTACAGGAAAGACTACAACATATTATTCTTTACTCTCTTAGGCAATACAAGATCTATCATAATATCCGGATTACTCTTTGACATTAAGTGAGAGAAGTACTGAAATAATTCACTTAAGTAGCTCAATTGGATTTATGTTACTGAAATCATTTTAAAACGAATGAAAAAGTTATGCGGAAAAAGTTCTCTAATAAAAATTTATTATTCTTAATAATGCTTTATGCATAACGTATATTTGAATGGCACCGAAACTATACATTTATAGTATAATTTTTTTAAATATGTTTGGTTGCAAGTACAGATCATGGATAACACTTTTTATATGATTTATTTGTACGTTTTGCATATACGACAGATACATCCATCAATTTAATACTGTGTATTTACGTGATTATAAGTAGGTACATTGATATTAAAGCTACTTGATTTCAGAAATATATTCAGAAGTTAGTCTAAAAACATTTCATACATCTACCTAAAAATTTTCTCATAAACTTATTCTGCTTCACGAGTGGAATAAAAATTATGAAAAATCACAATTGCTAACAGAATGGGCTGCTGTAGGCTCAGTAGGTAACTGGAACTCCAAATACATTCTCAACATACAAAACTTGCATTCACTCTAGAGAATACTCATTCTGTATTGCACTAAAATATAGACTGAATTTTTAAAACATAATTTATAACAGTATAATAAAACAGCACTGGAAAAAAAGTTCTTCATAAGGCCGTTGGACCTCTACGAGTTCGCAACGATTATAATATACCTATCAATATGACACCCACATTAACTGTATGAGTCTTATCGTGACAGTGACATTATTTAGCAAATTACTTATGGAGCAGATCAAATGATCTGACCTAGTTGTCATTAAAAAGGAGACATTGCTTCGATGAAAACTATGTTTGAAGTGATGAAAGTAAAGGAATATATAGAATTTTTATTTTTTTAAAAAGAGCTCCTACTACAGTACCCCAATTCAGATTTGGTTGGTGTTAACGCTAAACTATTAGATCTGTAGAGTTATATCATTAAATATGTTTAATCCAATATTCAACCATAAACTTATATTTTAATTCTTGTGAATTTAAGATTATAATTGATTGCAATAACAATTGGAACGAACGCTTTAGGTTGTATGTATTATAAGCACACACAACATATGTCACCTCTTGAAAACCTGACACCAATTGAAGACTGCTTAAAACCAGTAAAAACTGTAAACTTTTGAAATTGTGTGTATAACATTTATCCGTTAACACTAGTTAAATATATATACCAACACACACACATTTATATATACTACAATTAGATTTTTATATCTATATAAGGGAGAATTTTTTCCTGGTAATAGAGCTCCTCCTTTCTGTTTAAATAAAATAATTTTTAGAATATACTTTAGCATGAAGAGACTATATTGTGGTTTTATTTTCTTTGGTGTTGATATAGTTTATAATAAATAGATAATTAAAGATTTCAACGATTTAGAAAAGATAAGAATCTTTACATATCAACTGCAATACACCCAATGTGTTCTAATAACATCAGCTATCACTTTCAACTAAAACTTACTAAATAATAGATCCAAAATTATCCCACTATAACACACTTTATTGTACTATCTATACAACTTATATATATGTAATGTCTTATATAGTAGCTTACATTCTATAGAGTCGTATGATTTAAATTTATCTTTAGTAACTTTTTGTTATCAGAAAACGGCACTGTCTCCAACGGTTCGTTCGTTTGTTGACTTATATACATTTTTATGGGAAATGCAACATAAACAATGATGAAGAGTCATAAACCAGCACGCAAGAAATACATTAATATTGCGTTTCTGACGAAACTATGACCCGCGTCAAGACACTCGTGCATGAGTGAAGCAGTGTTTATGAAGCCAAAAGCCGGCACAGCTCTACACGCATGTTTCGAAGCATAAAAACTCGAACCACGCATTTTTCTCTAACGTGTTTTTTCGACATTGCACTGCTCTTTGATTTCTGAATGTTGTGTTCGGTGAGCAATCTATGAGCAAACAATCTACAATAGTTGGGCCCTTTGCTTTATCGTGTTCCTCGAGTTGTTGTGCGCCTGGTGAAGTAGTTCCATTTACTCATAACCAATAAATGGTTATAAATGTGCGAATGTGCGTGGTGCGTGGTGCGTACGTGAAGTGCGTATAAACGCATTACATAGCTATGAAATGTCACTGAAAAAGCAACGATCTATGCGTAACATAGATCTTGAAATTTTCAAATTTAAAAAATGGGCAACTGCCTTTTAATGTTGTGCGCCTATTCGAAAATCGATCGATTCGGAAGGGGTGTTTTTTTTTTACTTACGGTATTTCAAACAACTTTAGTTTCGAAAAACAAATTTGGATTTTAAATGCCTACATCATTATCGTTGTTTATATACTTCTCCGTTGTGTATTGTGGATTTTTTAAACGATCTTGTCAAGGTATTCGATGCGGTACGTATTTGAACCATACAACGAGCAAATATTTTGAATGATTATAGCATACTTATGCACTCTATGGACAGTATACAATGCTTCGCACACTACTGTCCGCATGCTACATTTGATATGCAAATAATATAAGCAGCATATATACATTTTATGCGGCATTTATAATTTCAAGGTCCTTTTTGTATATTTTGTATATTTAGTTTAGTGTATTGCTGAGTTTTGAATGATATTAATTATATATAATTTTTGTTTGTTATTTCAAAGATTTTGAACCAACTTAGCCAAAATATTTGCTTGTTGCTAAATTTTGTACGCCTGTTGCACTTTAGATCATTTTCATCATTAATAATTCTGAAAAATAGAATAATTCGTAAAGAAAATGTTGGCTCTCCTCAATTTTCCATTTAACTTCAAGCAAAATTACTTAATATGTGAATTGTTCAAAATTATGTATTCTAAAATCGATTTAAAAAAATTTTATCTTAACGAATTTACATATCTTTTTATCGTACATACACACACACATATATATATATATATATATTAAAATATCAATTTATATATTGTGTATATGACGCGGATGTGGCGCCATTAGCAAGTTAAACCTGTGCTAAACCAGTATTAAACTAAATAAAAACTGAATTCTATTATTATTAATAAATCTCTAATTTATTGTTATCGATGGTAAATATTTTGTATTTGTTTTTAACTGCTCTAATTTATTTAATTTATATTTTCAATAATTTATATAATTAAATTAAATTAATTAATACGCTGCCTGCCTGCCTGCCTGCCTTTAGTGCATCTAGTCAATTTATTACAAAAAGTGCTAAAAGTCTCTATTTTTAAATATTTTATTAGAATTGTTTGAAATGCTGTGAATCTAGATATTTATTAACAAAATGTTAAATGATTTTTTTTAAATTTAATTTATTTTACACATTTTAATAAAATTAATTTTTAGCACTTATAGATACATACAATCTTACAAAAAGAGATATCATAGATAAAAAATATGTTTGTTAGCAGATGGTTAAATTAGTTAAATCTGACTTGTTTTTATGTTTCAAGTACTAAAACGAGATAGAGAGAGAGACAAATACTTTTGTACAGGTCTTCAACATATCCTCTCTATAATTGTGCATTGGTCTGTAAGACTGACATAGATTTTTTGGATAAGCAATTAAGCTAGATTAAATTGTAAGTTCTTAACATGAATGGACTGAAGGATTTTGTAGACAAGACTTTATTTAGGGATTTAGTTTGTTGAAAGACAACTTTAGTTGAGCTGGGAGCTTGACGACGGTTTTGCATTAATTAGAGATGTAGAGATGTATAAATATTTATGCCTTATTTAAGATTCTACCTTTTTTGGACTGTGGGCTTCACTATTTTTTTGTTTTAGTAAGTGTTGTTCTTGATATTCTTATCTTATCTTTAATCTTCAATGAAATATTTTTATGTCTATCATTAGTTAAAATATCTAATGTTATCAGTCTGCCTAGTACATACTCTCTCAATTTCAATTCATTTTAATTCCGTTTCTTTCTCATCTACTATACTATATTATACATTGTGTTATCTATTCATGACCCAAACTTCTTATTCTCGTAACGCAAAACAGATATTTCTGCGAACTTAGTTTAGTTCAATATTATTTTAAATTGTTTTTTAAATTATCTGTTTTAAAATATCGTTAACAATCATACTATTGCTAACGTCTTCAAGGTTTATTTTGGGATTTAAGGTTGTGAAAATAAAAGTAGCTTCCTATTTTATCTTAGACATTAATCGACATATGTTTTCATAAGTCAACGCTTCCAACAAAATTATATCAAATGATATATAAATTATATCAAAATTTAATAGAAAAAATATGCCTAAAGCTACTATATCATGATCATATCATGTTCTATGAATTTAAAATACCACATATATGAAGTTTAAAAATGTTTATTTCTTCTTGTCTTCAGTATAATATTTTATATACATTATATATACATTATTAAATCACAAACTATTTTAGAACTTTGTCTAGAAGTATAACATGATTTTATTTTAATATGCTTTATTTGAATAATAAATTGAACCAATCTTCTTTATCTTTATCTTTTATAGAACCTTTAGCAATGGTGCCAGTGATGCCACAAATATTATACCGGAAAGACGTGCACGTCTTAACACCGCACCAGGTATGCGTGGAGCAGGCAGTATTGGTATTACGTATGGTACTGGCACGAAACGTCCGTACAATATTATTGGTGGTTCCACTGTTTCACACATAACAGATGACAGTAGTACAGAAAGTTTAACGCCTGGTAGCTTTCCAGGTAGTTTTAGCGTACGTGGTAGTATTAGTAAAAGCGTACAAATCAATGATGCAAAGGACTTACGCTTTCTTAACTCACAAGCGCAGAAAAAACATCAATGTAAAGATGAGCGAATTGTATTGGTGTCGGGAAAAGTACCATTTTTCATATTTTCCGCTTTACCTTACTATAAAGGCAAAAACGGCAGGTAAATTTTATTGTTCATTATTTATTTTTGAAGATTTTGAGTCTATAGCAAATTTCTTATTTTATAGAGCCGAATTACGTAAAGAGGGCAGACGTCGTCATACATCTGGTTCTAGACCATTGTCATCTATAAATGATGCACCTTTTGATCCATTCGATTTGTTGGGCATTGAAAAGGGTGAAAGTGGGCAGGTAGGTTCTATTAAATATCGATTTATATTGCATTTAAAATATTAATATAAATGTCATGTGTTACAAATACACTTACAATTACTTTGCTATATTTATTGTTTAATTTAATTAATTGTTTGCACTTATATTATTAAATCGAATTACATTTTTCAGGACATTTCGTATGGACACCTGCTGGTACCCTCACGTTACTATAGCAAGGACAACAAGAAGCACAACACTAACGCCACCACAGCTGCGTTATTGGAAAATCAAATGGAGCTCACAAGTGTGGCAGCACTTAAAAATCATGGTGTGGCTAGGTACGTGTGCGTCCTTGAACGTGAAAAGAAATAGGATATTAATTTTTAACTGCAACTCACGCTCTAATCCATCAGTCTCCAAGCAAACAGCTACAAATAAAATCCAAATTAATTTTCATTATCGATTTTCAGTTTTTCGTCCTCTGAACACATTTATCCGTACATACCATATACATAAATCTCTCATGCATTTCCCCATATTTTTTCATGTACTCGTTTCGCATAGCGCCATGTTTATAGCTTTTTCATTCATTTTCCATATCAAAAAGAGATTTAACTTCTGGCAGTTTTTGCGCAAAATGATTTACTAAGATTTCCCTTGTGGATGAGTCTTAACACACATTCACACTGTAAAGCTACCATCAACTAATGCTTCTAGTGTAAACAATTTTCTTGATTTCGCTTATTTGTTAATGTGAACCTAAATATTAAGGATATAATGTTGTTGTTGTAATATAAATAAAAAAGCATTTAGCTTAAGAATCAGGATATGCAGGATATAATTTCCATAAGCTCCAAAATTTAAGAAATTTAAATTTTAAAATTTAAGAATTTAAGAAATGTATATATTTATTAGACAAAGCTTAAAATATTTAGTCCTAGATTTTTATAATATTTCATTAAATGCAACAGTCAGTTTATTTTATTAAAAAATTTGTCATATGTATGTAAAGTTGTCATGCATATTAGGGTTCCAGAAGCTGCTGAGTTTAAGTCCCGAAGCCATTTGTCTACAAAGACCAAGTTTCGCTAACCACGTTAGAATTTTACCATTAACAAAGGCATTAAAAAAGATATTGACAATCAATATTTCAAGCTTTTAAGATAATTAAATCTATTGCGTAAGGGCTTAGAACCTATTATTTTATTATTTGAACTACATCACAGAGCTACAACTGTTGGAACTTTTAACTGTGTTCATTGAAACTGTTTAAAATTATTTTTACAATGGTTATGGAACCTCAAACGATAAAAAAATCGTTGTCTTTACGATCATGTAGTAGCATTTGAGAATATATCATAAATGATTCAGTTTTACATAAAGGAAATTCATACTAAATTAAAGGAGTTCAGATCTGTATATAGATTATTTAAATTTTTAATATTTGTAATAAGAAGATAGTGGTTTCCGGTTTCTTCTGTTGAACGTAGAATATAACGTCATTCTCTGTTTATATGGCATAGTCTAGTATTGGCATTATCTTATCTATTTTAAAATAAAAACTTGTTAGAACTTTGTCATAGATTCCGTAATAGGCAGCGTGGCCGAGCGGTCTAAGGCGCTGGTTTTAGGCACCAGTCCGAAAGGGCGTGGGTTCGAATCCCACCGCTGTCAATTTTTTTTTATTATTATTTTTACAATATATAATAGTACATCAATATATATGTACGCCACCGCATGTCCCCTACTCTATACTGAGATTTGCACACAGTGTTTACACTTTCTTTGCCTATATTAATACATATGATTTGCCTTTTATTGAATAATCAGGTACACTGAAATGTATTTTATGTTATTATTTTGCAATTCTTTAAATACGATATATACACGATAATACTTATAAACAAAAACTCTGCTCGATTTTACAGGACCAAAGTTATATCGCGGCAGAAAGGCAAATGGTAATTTTATACATAAAAAATAAAACAAAATGTAGTTTGAAGTTACTGTTAGTTATGTGTTTAGTTGATATTTATTATTGTAACTTTAAATTCTGTTTAGTTTAGTTTTTAACTAAATATTTACAAAAAAAAAAAAATAACTAACAATTATCTTAAAGTGTGTTGGGCATATTTTTAAAACAATATATGAAGTTACTTCTAACAACTAAAATCCCTACTGACCTTTATGAATAACATCACATATACTAAACATCTGCAATTATCCAATTGTAAGCAATTCAAATCAAACAAAAAATAAATACTTAAATCACAAGTATCTATTCTTTTTCACTATTCACTATTATAGATAACTCTATATATAAATATGCATATCTAAGAGTATGTATAGTATGTAAATAACAAATTCAAAGAAATTATATTCGAAACTATGGTTTTGTTTGACTATGAATAGCTTCCAACTGGATGCACGTACAACATTTAAACAACATTAACACACATAAAATTATTTTAAAATTATACTGAACTAATCGGTGTTTGAATATTATTCGATATTTAATAACATTAAGTAATAACTATATGCATGCAAATATTAACGCTATCCAAATAATATTTTCATACATACCTTCTGCTGAACTTAATATTTTTTTTATTAACATTTATGTATTTCACTTTTTTTTTTTTTTTTTTTTTGAATGAAAATAGGTGTTTCACATACGACACTACAAATCGTAACAGTGCATCCAGTCCATCACCTGACATCAAATTAGACTTGGATGAAAATCTGCTTATAGGAGGCAGTGATGCTGGGCGTGGTTTATCTGTGAGCATATTGCAAATAATAACTGATAATCGTGAACTTAACATTTTTTTTTTTTCATAGTATCAACAATATTCGGCTAATATACTGGATGATCCCGAATTGATTGCTGGCAAGCATCGCACTTTATTGACATTCACTTCTTACATGACTTCGGTTATTGATTACGTGCGTCCTTCGGACTTGAAAAAGGAACTTAATGATAAGTTTCGAGAGAAATTTCCGCATATACAGTTGACTTTAAGTAAACTAAGAAGGTATGATAGCATTTACGATTACAGTAATAACAATAAAGTGTATATGTTAAAAGTAAAGCGCGGAGGTTGCAACCTAGGCAGTTGCACCACCTTTATATCTGCTAAATATGTGACGAATAAGAGTCACAAGACAACACTAAGAGAAAGGAAAGAGGAAGTAAGCAATAATTAATTTCAATATAGCGTGAAGAGATGGAAGAGAATTTATTAATATATAGTTGTGGGAGAGCATAAAACCTAGACTGATTCAAAGTATAAGAAAGCTGTCACCTTAATTAGATCGTTACTTCTTGACGTGAGGTTATAATATATACGTGATCTAGAAATCGATATTAAATCCATATGTAGGTCGTCGATTTGATTTTCGATTTGCGAAATGCCAAGCTTACGTTTCGAAGCCATCCGTTTACGAAGATGAAATCTACTTACCATTCCTTTCATTTAAGTTTTAGTTTCTGAAAGTAAGGTAGAGCGATGCAGATTACAACAATAATAAGAAACTTTCTTTTCAATTTAAATGAAGAAATTTAGTCAGTTAAAGTTTATAGAATAGTTTATCCGAATTACTATTTATTGTCAATTAAAACACATAGTGCCACATATTAAAGCAAAAAAAAAAATATTAACATATATATTGAATTTTTCGAATAAAGTATATAATGCATTTTTCCATTATTTATATTTATATGAATATATACACACATATATATTTCGATAATTAACATATTTTTAATTACAGTATCAAACGTGAAATGCGGCGTATCAATAAAATCGATAATCGTATTGATTTGGTTACTATATCTCAAGCATACGTTTACTTTGAGAAATTGATTTTGGCTAATTTAATCAACAAAGACAATCGAAAACTGTGTGCCGGAGCTTGTCTCTTGTTGAGTGCCAAAATGAATGATGTGAAAGGTGAATCATTAAAGAGTTTAATTGAGGTAAGATTATTTCAAATCATTCAACTCAATATTCTTACTAATTAATCTCTTTTTTAATTATAGAAAACGGAAAACATATTTCGTGTAAATCGTAAGGAGTTGATTGCTTCAGAATTTGCTGTGCTAGTGGCACTGGAATTCAGTCTGCATGTACCATTGCACGAAGTGTTACCACACTATCAACGTTTGCTCTACGAATCATAGAATTGGCCTAAACGCTTTATTGAAAAGCGTATAACCGCTACAACGCGTTACTATTTTCGGCGTAAGAGCACCAGGAAATGAAGTACTGGTTCTGTTTTTGGAGTTAACGATTTTTATAATTAAACGAATTTCTTTTTATACTACTTTGGTGCACAGGGTTTTTTGTTAAATTTAATTTAATTTCTTTTTGTTATATACAATATTTTGTGACATTTTTACGTAATTTAATATGTTTACAGATTTTTTTTACAATGATTTTACTTAATAGTTTAGTGCATGTTAATATATTGTTTTTATTTACAAGTATTTTTATAACTATTAATAATAACTAGTGTTAGTTTATAATTTTTACAAAATCAATTTAACATTTTATAGATTAAAAGATTTTATACGATAGTGGTTATATGGTTAAGAATAATGATAAAATTTATATATTGGAATTTTTCTATGTAATGATATTACAACGGTTATTTTATAAATATCATACATCTGTAGTTTTCCTAGTAAAAGTTATAAAACAGAAATCAACACTTTTAAACGAAAAAAAAAAATGAAAATATTAAAAATGTTTTTATAAAATTACTGTACAATATGGTTTTAAGAAGAATATTAAATCTACTTATTGAAGCATATTTGCATATTGCATAGTTCTTTGTACTAAATACATTAAGAGATACTTAAATATATTATTCATTTTATAAATATTATACGTATATAAACATACATAAATATATTATTATATCCACTCATCGATTAAGTGTTATGAGTCAAACAAAAATGCATTTAAGAATGCTTAACAAATTTGGTATAATTAAATGAAAAATATTCAAAATAAAAAACTGTAATATAACAGTCTATATATATATATATATATATATTTATATATATTAAAATATTAAAATAATTGTACTAACTTTATAAAAAAACCAACTAAACAAATTAATTATTAATCATAATCAATTCATAAGAATATTTTATATTCCTTATATGATATGTAGTCCAAGCAAATCGGAATTTTTTTTAAAATGATTGCACTTTTTTAAATTTGCATTATTTATATTAAATAAATCAAATATATTCAAATTATTATTGAGAGAATGAAATGCGACTTTTAAAGTTATATTTATACGCATTTCTGTTAAGGTTAATAATGACTAAATGTATAAATTTAATTTAACAAAAATGCACTTAAGTATCACGTTTTATTTAGGGCATTTTATTAATATACATAAAAATTCTTAACAATACTGTTATTAATTAAATTAAATTGAAAATTAATATTTAAAATAACTGAAGTTATATTAGAAAAGTGTAGTTATTCATTAAATGAACAAAAGTTATAGTCTAACGGATCTTAAAAAGATTTTTATAATATATAATATAGAATAAAGCGCTCAGTGCGTAAGTAGATATGTACATATATATGCATATATATTTAAATGTTATTTATAAAATCATTTATTTATTCTAATAAACTAATCAAACAAAATACATTTTTTTTGCTGAACAAATATTTTTTGGGTGGTTCTTAATTTAAATCGTCATAAAATAAGATTTTCAACGATATATATAGTTTTTTATATAGTTATGTGCTATGTATATTTTTAATATACTTAAATAAATCAGTTTAATTAAAAACTTATTTTACTATATTTACGTGTATAAAGTCTACACTGTGTCGGTATACATTTAACTATTGCGATCAACTCTACAAATGTGCAGCAATATGTGTTATTTAGCATACAAAATCTATATAAAAAATGAAAATGAGCTTCGTTAATTGTAAGTGTAAACATAGTATTAGATTTAACAATTTTTACTTATATTTCTGATTAATAATTCTATTATTTTATTTGTGGTGAAGTAGTAATTTTCCCTAAGGTAAAGTTTTTCTTATGAAAAATTATTTCTGTTTCGCTATATGTTACTTTATAAAGAATATATTTTATACTTTTATTTTTGTAAATATTAATTTAATATGTTGAAATAATATATTTGAATAAGATGTTTGCTTTAATTGTGTTATATTCTTCTGAAAATAATAATTCGTTTATTACAGTTTACAGTCAGGCTTTTCTTTTTATATATTTTTCTATTTATTCTCATTCAAAAAAGCAGTAAATCGAATAGGAAAAAATGAAAAATTTTAAAATGGAAATATATACATATATTCTAAATTTCTTCGTCTTAAAGTTATTCCGATATCATTTTGCATATTTAAATATTATATAAAATAATAAATGTTCAATATGTTTAAATACTTCAATTTGTTACATTAACTATAAATTATTAAAAATTTACAGGCTCATCAGAACCATGCTACTTGTGTATTTTAGAACTAGATTACTAAAACTAATAATAAGTATAGAAAAAGTTTTAATATTATTTTCAATGACTGGCTTTGTATGTGGCTCAAAAGTCAGCTAACCTCTTCCAAAAGTTCTCCACTTTCTTAAAAGCTGACAATTTTTGTTAAATATCGGAATGAAATTCACAGTATAATGCTGTGTATCTTTTTGCAAATCATTAATAAGGTGTGGTTTTAGCGAATTAAAATCCTATCCTGTATTTTCTATGCTTTTAATTGACAAAAGAAAATCTCTAATATAGCATATAGAGCATTTTAACTATTTCTGAATATATATATAACTGTACAGTCTATCGCAGCAAGCTTAGTAACGTTGAAAAATTTCTTGAAATGACATCAGTTAAAATTTTCAAATTTATTTATATTTTTGGGTAGTTTTTCTCTGTGGGTATCAAGAAAAATTTGCATATAACAACATATTGCTAACCAATTTTTAATTTTTATTGTTAGCAAAATGGATGATCTGATCGATGAAAATCAATTCAATAAAGATGAAATTAATAAACTAGTTAGGGATGTTGTTGAAAAAATTTTAGAGGGAGTCCTCTATGAACACAATAAAATAAAGCAGTGGACAGAATTGATTTTGGACCAATGTATGGCTGCACTGTTCAAGGAACAAAAACAATATAAATACATTCTCGGTGTCAAGATAATGCAGAAATGTGGAGCTGGTTTACAATGCGCTTGCGCATGTTATTGGAATAATGAAACCGATGACATAAAAGTTGTTCGTTGGGAGAACAAGACAATGGTTTGCATTGTCACTGTTATGGGTGCAATTGTTTAGGAACTAATGAGAGTAAGAGCCTTAGTTTTATATATCAATGATGTACTTTATATAAGTATAAATTTTTTGTTCGCAACAGATTCAAAAGCATAGCGAAAGGTTTCTAAATAGTGGAAAAAACTTAAATAGAAGTTAAGTTTCCATAATCAGGATGTTATTTATTTTTGACTTATTTACTATGAATCAAATAATCGTTTTCATTTGATTTTCATTATAATTTTGCGTAGAAGTGATAACATGAAAAATATATTAATATACAACAAAATTTATAAACAATAAAATCAAATTAAATTCGAAAGAGGAACTATGTTTTTTAATGAATTCAGTAAATTTTTAAGAAAGTTAAATGATTTACTTCAAAAGTCTAATTTTCAATAATCTAATATCAATTATGTGTTATATTTGCTAATGAATTGATAGAAATTAGTGGAAATAGCAAATGGCACAAAATAGTGTATTTTATACTCAATTGCATTCATTGTTCTAAATATATTTTTATTTTAAAATAAACCAGTAAATTTAATAAAATAAAAATAAATAAAAAATAAATAAAAAACTGTGACAGTGGTGGGATTCGAACCCACGCCCTTTCGGACTGGTGCCTAAAACCAGCGCCTTAGACCGCTCGGCCACACTGCCTTGTGGCGACTTTTTCATTGTTGTTGTTCTTGTTCGTGAGTGTTTAGAATATTCTAAATTGTTTTTTTTATTAATTAATAAAAAAATTTGATTTTAAAATATTATCATTTTAATATTCTAATTGACCTATAAGTATTATATAAAATAAAAAAGAATCGAATAATTCTCTCTATTGACGACTGTTGTACGCTACCGTATCTGTTATAAAAAGTGCAGTTGTCTTTAATGTTTAATTTCGATTTTAGATAAATTACGTATATATTCTTATTATAACGACTAACTACACTATAATTTCAATGTCCAATACCCTTGCAATAACTAATAAACAAAAGTAATAAGCAATAACTTGAGCGAAAACATTCTATTGAAAATTAAGTAATCCATTAAAATCTTTATTGAATAATTTCTGGAAAATCACTAAATCCAAACTCATCCTAAGCTATAAAATTCGCGTTTTTGATTTAACCTAACCTAGATCTGTGCTCAGATTAATTATTGGGTTTCCTAATTATAAATTTTTTTATTAACTACCACACTCCTTAGGTTGGTCAAATAAAAGGTAAAATATTTATGCATCTTCCTGGCTCATGTGTTGTGATTATTACAAAATAAGTTCAGTACCTTCGCCTGAGTTTCATCTAGAAAGAGTCATGAAAATTTGGATCAAATAACCTCAATTTGTGTTTAAGTTAAAATAAAGTACAATTTTCATCTTCATATCTCTTTATCAACGTTATTCCTTGTAATAGTATGGTAATATAATAGGAACTGCTAGAATATTTTAACATCTTTAGTAATTTAGTAATACGAAGGAAGGTTTTGTAGAGTTCTGCACAAGAATCAACATTCCTACAAAATCTTAAAAATGTGTTAATCATGCCAGTTTTGTACCATACAATATACACAGAGTCGATTTCGGATGAAGTTCTTTTTTAAAATACAAATAATATTTTCATGAAATTTTTATTTTAATAAAGCATTGTCATTTTCGAATCAGTATTCTCTACATTCTTCTTATCAAGTACAGCTGTGGCTTTGTTGTTCATTTGGGCCCACATGCAGCGGCTTTTTTACTCCAATATTTACATACGTATTTCACGTTCTTCTGCTGCTATTGTTTACACAGCGCAGCTATTGACCCTCAGAGTGCAGTGCGATCCCCAAAATATTCTCGTTTACTCCATGCGATATTGTTTTTTTTATGTGTGGTATGCCTACGACTTTTCAACAACTAGCATATTTGTGGGGAACCAGTATGAGTTTAGAGGAGTGAAGTATTTGGTAAGAGAAAAATTGAAATAATTTTTAATAAAGAACAAGTCGCTGAACTTGTTGCATTTGCTGCTTGCCGCGCATTTAAAGCTAACTAATCCGCCCCAACAAACCGAACAAAAACATTTTGGGGAAGTACACAGTATGTTTTTTTTAAAATATTTTTTACAATCTGATTGTTGAACAATGCCAAAAATAAGCTTTAAGAGTAAAGTTTATTTTTTAAAAAAATATTTGATATTTTATACTTTTGAAATCATTTTCACACACAATCTGGTTTATGGCGATTTTAACGAGCCCAAACTGCCTCCATCAATCAAAAATCAATAAATTTTTCCGATCGATTATTTGTCAAAAGAACAGGAACGCAGCAACTCAAAAAGCGCAACAGATTCTTGAGCATGGCAGCATGGCAACAGTCTATGCACACACGTTTCCAACTCTTCAATCTAATCTAAATAAAAGAATGGCCCTACCTAATAAGTTGATTCAGTTATTGGTCGTATTGGTCGGTGCGATACGTGTTGTTGTTAGGTTTTGAATACGAATGCTTCATTATTTAATGGTCGTTTACCTTTCCGTCTGTTGTTCCCTTTTGGTACGTGCACATACATTATCATATGTGGTTTGTAAACAACTACCGAAAAATGTTTATTAGATACTTTGAGGGTTCCGTTGCAGATTTTTTTTAGAGTTTATTAAATTTATTATTATACAAAATAAAATAGTTTAATTATTTTTATGTGAAAATATAATTTTAATTTTTTTGATGCATTGGCTGTTACAATAATATCAATTCCACCTTGACATTATTAAAAGCTATTAAAAAATGTATTCTGCAATACCAGAAAATCTTAACCCTGTTCTTGCCATTGTTCTGAGTTGAATAATGCATATAATTTATAGGAAAAAAAAATATTGTATATTATTAAAAATTCTTATTTACTCAATTGATAATTATATCAGTAAATTCGATTAACGTTCTTTAATACAGAATGTAAAGGGGCACGGTATCCTTGAAACTTACTGAGGGTTCCAACTGAATTCATTATATCAGTTCAGCTAACTTCAACTTTACGTTAGAAAAACCGTTATCAATTAATTTGAAGTAAATCAATAGAATTTTAAAAGACTTACAATTTACAACTTTTAAAAACAAATAAGACTAGCTGATTCAAAAGAATATTTATATAGGAAATAATTTTAATTATAAAGTTTGACACATAGTTTATAAGATTCATTTTAGCTGTTTGTCTAATCATGATATCGCACTTAGTCCAAGCCATATATACTATGGCAACCTAAGGAAACACAAAAATCTATTAACCAAACCATCAAGGAAAGTTGTCAGAACAAAACAGACAAGAAGAGTAACTATGGAATTATTAAAATTGATTAAACTATCATAAAGTGATAGTAGATTAAACTATCATAAAACTTTAAAACAAACGTCAGAAGTTGGCCAAACAAGCGAAAAAAGTACCTAGGTGAGCTTCCTATAAGAGATAAAGAAATAAAACTCTGTAAGGTTCAATACAACAGTTTATAAATGTAGTTGATATTGAAAAAATTCTCGATGTCCATGAAGGAGCACAATAGATCTCTAGTTCACTGTGCAACTTTACGAAATATAATAATAATAGGAGACAGTGTACACAATGATAAATATACTAGACTATGCGGTAGATTTCTGTTATTGAAGTTCCAAATTCAAAATTTAATTTAAATTCAAGATTTACTCTAGTCGCTAGAACACACTTAACATATTGAATTGATATATATAATAAGGGATTGTGAAAAGCTGCAATAAAAAACTGAAATAACCTTTAGCTTATAACTACAAAAGACTTTATCGGTAGCTGAATTTGTATAAATGGGTAAAGACAATTTTTAGATAAACAGATATAGGCAGTATCTGAAAATGTTGCCCATTCATTATCATATTTTGATGAATTTGAGATTTATTTTCTAAATAAGGTTTTAACACATGAAGTCTCATAACATGCTTTTACAACTACAATGAACAATAGGACAATAGATCTTATAAGTTGTAGTCTGTCATTGTCTCGTATAATGAAATACAAAAACAATGAAATACCTTCACTCATGTATAAATTTCTATCTTCAATTATATCAGGTATATTTTACACACTTTTACACAATGTACACAATATACACAATTTATATATTTGCACAAATTATAGAATTGCTTAGATTGGGCACGTTTACGACAAGTGGAAGTATCTCATAACATTAACGATTCGTTTGGTGGCAATTGATATTAAAACTGATAAGTTTCTTATCCTTAGATTTTGTCTTTATAATTTTTCTGAGAAATACGAACGTTAAGAATATCTGATTTTCAAATTTCTCATTCTTAACCATTAGATGTGCGGTCAAAATGTCTTCTTATCTGCTTAGTAAGCACATATTTCGAAAGAAAGGAAAGTTCCTCTACATTCCATATTTTCCATGCCTTAACTGATGGTCTTAATTTGGTCTTCTTCTTCTCGGTTAAATAGTTTCTTTGTTTTTGTAGTCGTTCCAAATTACTTTGACTCAAAATATTGTAGACACAAGCGTGGAACGACGACTGAGTCTCATTGCGGACTGCGTGAGCACTCCGGTGACAACTGCTATTTATGCTTCTCCGTGAAAAAACCAGTAACAATTTTAAATTTAATTAATGGAAATGTTTTGTAACATAAATTATTATTAAAACTTTATCAATGTAACTAAGTAGAACCACACGCTCACATTCACATTCACACTTTGCTGCTGCTGATGGTGGTGCTGTGCGATGCGAGTTTCAGGGACATGCAAACTCATTAGCAGTGAGTTCTGCATTTAATTTTAACTTTTGAACAAATTAGTTTTTTTGCTATTAACAGCTTCCTACAGACAGGCATGCCAGATACATGCCTAGATAACAGCATCGCCCCCCGTTGCCCGTTGCCCGATGCCTAATGCCAGATGACTGCTACCTCTTGCCGTCTTGCCGCCTTGCCGCCTTGTGGCTTGCGAACATGACAAACCCAATTAGCAGCGCACTAATTAATCACTTGCAAACCGACGCGCCGCAATAAATAAAACCTCTCAAATTACCGCAACGTAACCTAACGAAAATGCGGCACATGACGTAACGCTGTGTTTTACGTGTACGTAAGGACATCTTGTGCTGGCTGCGTCCGCGTCTTTCTTAC